CATGACCCCCAAACCCCCCAGGACCCCCCAGACCAACATGAGATCCTCCCCAGGACCCTCCCTCACCTCCAAGACCTCCCCCCTCCCCATTTTCCATGGAAATTCCCGGCTGGAAGCGAATCCCAGTCCCCTTGGTGACCCCAGCCCCATTTCCCCAGCCCCTGACCCCTTTTCCCTCTCTTTTCCCCCATTTTTTCCCAATTTTCCCGCACTTCTTCTCAATTTCCCCCTATTTTTTCCCAGTTTCTCCCCATTTTTCCAATTTTTTCCCTATTTCCCTGCATTTTCCCCATTTTTTCCTGATTTCTCCCCGTTTTCCCCCAATTCTCCCTCTCCCCTGAGCCAGGGTCGGGTCCCCGTTGTTCCCTGGGGGTTTCGGGGTGTCCCCCCCTCCCCAAACCCACGCTGGGGGGGCTTTGACCTCTGACCTCACCCGGCCCGGGGAATTCGGGACCCCCCTGGGATTTTGGGGTCCCCTCCCATGGGAATGGTGGGGCTATCCTGAGGATTTTGGGGACATTCCTTGGGATTTCGGGGGTCCCCAGATGGAATTTTAGGCCCCCCCCCCCCCCCCCGGTTTGGGTCCTGCCCATGGGAATTTCGGGATTTTCCCAGGAATTTGGGAATTTTGGGTCCCCCCCATGGAATTTCTGGGTTCCCCCTGGAATTTTGGGAATTCTGCCCCCCCATTAACAGTATTAACCCCTCGCCCCACACCCCCCCAGTCCCAAACTGGTTTGGACTGGTTGGCCACGGCCGGGGTTGCAGTTTCTCGCTGACTTTTGCCCAATTCCGGGCGCTTTTGGCCCAAATCCCGCCGCGATTCCGGGCCGGCCGCGCCCCCAGTGCCTCTGGAACCCCAAATTCTCAGGGAAAAACCAAAAATCCACAACCCCGCGGCCGGAATCGATGGAAAACGGCGCTTTTGCACCAAAACGGGCTGGGGGGGAGACTTGGGGCAAAAAGGAGCCAAATTGGGATTTTCGGGTTTGAGGCGGATTCTTTTCCTTTCTTCCTTTAATTTTTTGGGCACTTTTGGCCCCAGTTTGAGTGGCTTGTGAGGAATTGGGCAATAACAAAACGGCGCCGCTTTGGGGAGTTGATTTTGAACCCTTCCATGCTGTTTTTTTCCCCATTTTGAGCCAAAATCATCATTTCTTTTGGGTCTGTTTGAGGGTTTTTTTGGGTGGATTCCTTAAAAAATCGCCTCGTTTCGGGGTGAAGCCACGGGGAGGGGGAGGGATGGTTCCGGGGGGTGCTGGACCCCAAAATCTCTCCTTTTCCCCCCGAAGCGGTGGCAGAATTATTTAATTTGTAAATAATGTACAAATTTTTACCAGCTCCGGTGTAAATACAATAAAGGTTGCAGTAAAGCTCGGCTCCTCCCGCCGGCCATTTGGGGATTTGGGGAGGATTTGAGGGAATTTGGGGCGTTTGAGGGGATTTGGGGTGAGGGAGGGGCTGGGCTGGGCGAGATCTGAGGGGGCTTGGAGAGGTCTGGGGGGGATTTGGGGGCTCTGAGGGGACCCTGAAATGGGGCTGGGGGCTCCCCGCGGGACCCTGAAATCGGCCCCAAATCGGTCCCAAAATTGGACCCAAACCAGTCCAAAATCAGGCCCAAAGCAGCCCGAAACCAGCCCAAAATTGGCCTCAAATCAGCACCAAAATTGGCACCAGTCAGCCCCAAATCAGCCCCAAAATCAATCCCAAAATTGGCCCCTGCTCTTATCTCAGCTCCCTCCGCATTTTCCCTCATTTTCCCATTTTTTCCCCTTTTCCCCCACATTTCTGCCAAATTTTCCCCATTTCCCCCCCAGCTCAGAAAACCCGACGACCCCTTGGGGCTCCTGGGACCCCTCAACTTTTCAGGAGGTGACCCCAACCCTTCCTACAAGTACTGGTACCAGGTGGGGTTTTTGGGGGGGGATTTTGGGGTCTCCAGGGGGGTCCCCAGGCTGATCCCCCTCCCCTTTTATCCCTCCCCAGCACAGCTCCAGCCCCGGTGGCCACCAGAGCCCCTGGTGCTGCAGCCACTCCCCACGCCCCTGCACAGACTGGGGGACCCCTCCCCAAAATTTGGGGGGTGGGCATTGTAAATAAAGAGGCTGTGAGGAGTTACCCTCATTTATGAGGCCTTTATTCTGTTTTGGGGCAGCTTCCAGCAGATTTTGGGCTACCCCAAGGTGGATTTTGAGATCCTCTCTGTGGGTTTTGGGGTGGCCCAGGTGGATTTTGGAACCCCAGTGTGGATTTTGAGGTACCCCCAGCAGGTTTTGGGGTGCTCCAGAGGGATTTGTGGCTGTCCCCAGCAGCTTCAGGCAGATTTTGGGGTGCTCCAGGTGAATTTGGAGGTGCCCAGGTGGATTCCAAGGCTCCCTGTGAATTTTGAGCTGCTCCCAAGAGATTTTGGGCTGCTCTAGGTGGATCTGGAGGTGCCCCAAACTGATTTTGGGGTGCTCCAGGTGGATCTGGGGATGCCCCAAACAGATCTTAGGAGGCCAAGGTGGATCTGGAGGTGCCCCAAGCTGATTTTGGGGTGCTCCAGGTGGATCTGAAGGTGCCCCCAGGAGCTGTTGCGCTGCCCAGGCTCCATTTCGGGATGCTCCAGCCGAATCCCAGCAGATCCCGGGCAGGCTTTGGGATCCCCTGGGCAGATTTTGGAGTCCTGCAGCAGTTTTGGGGTCCCCCGGGCAGATTTTGGGGTCTCTAGAAGCCCGTCTGGAGCAGCCACTGCCGCACCTGCGGCCCCCAGTGCCCGCGGAGCCGCAGCGTCGCCGTCACCTCGTTCACCTGCGCCGGCACCTCGGGGACCCCCAGGGAGCCCAGGAACGCGCTCAGGTCCCGCTGCAGCGCCTGGGGGGCGTCGCGGGGGTCAGGGGGAGCCCCCCAAGACCCCCGGGGACCCCCAAAACCTCCCCCAACTCACCCAGATGTCGCCGTGGATGTGGCGCAGCTCCGTCAGGCGCCGGCCCTGCCGCTGCCCCTCGTACACGGGCAGGTTGTGCAGGCGTGAGCGCCGCACGAAATAGGGCAGCTCCGGGGGGGGCCCTGCAGCAATTAACACCCCCGGGGGTAATTAACATCCCCCGGGGGTAATTAACAGCCCCCGGGGGTAATTAACAGCCACCCCGCCTAAATTCATTTCACTGCGCCTAAATTCGCTTCACTGCACAGTTTGGTATTCAGTAATTTCTCCTTCAAGGAAGTATTTTGGAGCCCTCCCCGGGGTAATTAATACTCACCAAAGGGTAATTAACACTCGACAAGGGGTAATTAACATCCCCCTAGAGTAATTAACAGCATCTGGGGGTAATTAACACCCCTCCAAGTGAATTAACAGCCACCACGCCTAAATTCACTTCTCTGCGTAGTTTGGTATTCACTAATTTCTCCTTCAAGGAAATATTTTGGAGCCCTCCCTGGGGTGATTAATACCCACCAAGGAATAATTAACACTGTCTGGGGGTAATTAACACCCCCCCCCCCAAAGAAATGCAACCCACCCCGGCCCAATTCACTTTGGGGTAAATAAATCTTCTTTGCTCTTTGGGCTGAGATGATTCCCTCTTGAAGAGAGTGTTTTGGGTAATTAACCCCAGGGTAATTAACACCACACGGGGGTAATTCACAAGCTCCCAAGGTAATTAAGCCCCCCAAGGTAATTAAACACCTCCCACAAAGTCATGAAGCTCCCCCAGGATAAATTAACTGATAAAGAACCCCGGTGA